ATGTATGTATGCACGTATGTATGCACGTATGTATGTATGTATGTATGTATGTATGTATGCATGTATGTATCTATGTACAGCATTACAATGTCTACGTACACACACACACATATATATATATATATACATACATAGGAACGAGACGGCATGTATACATATGTACATACTATATCTCTAAGGCGTGTAACTAAGTCTGTTTATGTGCAGAAAATATGGAGGGTATACATGTATGCATGTTGCTAGGTATGTATGTGCATTATCATGTGTGTACATCACATATATGTAGGAGCTCAGGGCTGCCTTTCTTGGCACCTAGCAGAAACGGTCATTTCATAGACATCCACCGCTGCTGGACACTCTTGGTCATAGCGGCGAATTCGGAGTCTGTCAGCCATCCTGCTGAGTAGAGCAAGTGTGGAAGGACGGATTCGACAACGTTGAGTGACATAGCATTGCCCAGCATGCGCCCCGCAGCTCTGGGCGAGATCTTAGCACCCACGAAGTCGAGCTTGTCCGGGTCGAATCCCTGCAGCACGGCATAGTCACGCACATCTAGAAAGCGTCCCTCCGAGGTAAGCCAGTGGCCGAAACGGCTGCAAGCACTTTTCGTAAGTGTCATACAGAAGTCCACAGAGGCATGAGACCAAGCGTCCGAGCAGCAAGCACCGACGACCACGGGAGTAGTAAACGGGTTTACTCCGGCACTGCATTGTTTCTCCAGGACACACTGTACTCGGCGAGCGGGCGCCTCCTGGTCTGGCAAGGCACGAAACGCTGGCGCATCGGGCCTTCTCAAATACCTGCTGAGCCTCTGATTCTTAGGGAGGGTCGGAGGTACCGAGAGCGGATGCTGCAGGCAATCGGTCCGGACAGCTTGCACGTACAATCTGCGTCTAGCCTGAGGGACACCGTATTGCATGGTGTCCAAGATAGTCCACTTGTATGTGTATCCAGCTGCCTGAAGACAAGCAAACCACACCTCCATGTCATCTGTGTGCTCCAAAATTTGGGGCACATTCTCTAGCAGGACTGCCTCCGGAAGTTTAGAGACTACATAGTCGAGCGCATTCCACATGCCATTCCGGGCATCCTTGAAACCACCTCTCTTGCCTAGAGACGAAAATGGCTCACACGGGGGGCTAGCGACATACAAAGACACTGAAGGCGGGGACTTGACATCGACCGCATAGTCTCGTTGACGGACGTCGCCCAGCAGGTGCTCCGGTCGGTGGTGATGCTGGATGAACTTTTGCACATCCTTGTCGAAGTCTGCACTGAAGGAATGTTTGAAGGGGATATTCAACCGCTGGAGAGCAAAAGCCGCCGTGTCTAGCCCTGCGAAATCTGCTCCCAAGGTCAGTATCTTCCCCTCCGGCTTGGAGGCACTGGAAGAGGCTTCACGTGCTCGCTTGGGCATGCTGCTACCGGGTTCTGGCACTCTAAGCAAAGACCTTTGAGATACGGGTAGGCCGCAGTCACACATCTCGCTGACGCCAGCACCCCGATACAAACGCCAGCCATAAGGTTTGGGTTTAGGGTTTAGGGTCAACCACCCAGAGAAAACAAGAAATAACCATTCACCCGAATCGTGTGAGCCCCCGCTCCTTGTAGGCCTGAAGTAAAACACGAACTAGAACCCCCCCCAACGAAAGAAAACGAATACACAAGCTACCCTTCAAAGACAACCCTAAACCCTCAACCCTAAACCCCCTAAACCCTAAACCCTCAAACCCTAAGAACACTCCCTGGCTGACAGGCCTCGTCTGTGGTGCCCACGACGAACAGCGGAGCGAACCTGGACGACAGAGAGGTTCGGGGGCTGCGGAAAGCTGGCGCCTACTTTGATGCTTAAACCCTACACATGCTCACACAGCTTCATTTGCATCGCATCGCTGCCCATGTCCCTTTGTTCGTGGCTGTTTCCCCCTGTACTGCTCTCCCGGCGCCCTTGCTGCATGCATGCAACACACACTCGTCTGTTAGTATAAACTGATTACTTTGGCAGATGTTGTTGGAGGGCACAGGCCGGGAATCTACGTGTGAATTCGTCGCGCAATGCAGCAGCTACATGCCCGATAGATTGAGGCGGGAGCTCTGCTTGTCAAGCCGGCAAGCAAACTGGAAGAAGTCAGCTAGCTGAAACACATGCGGAACACCTTGATACTGCTCAACTTCTTCCGGAGTCACTGCTGCCACGGCCGTCGCTGCCATTCGTTTGTTGGTCAACTCCTGCTTCTTCTGCACCCAGATCTCGATATCGTCGACGAGAGACCACTTGGAATCAGGGCCTTGTGCACAGGACCTCAACACCCGGCACAGTGGCCCCTGTTCTCGAGTCAAATCGGCACTTATCCAGAGGAACCGTCGTGTAGACAAAGCACTGACAAATTTCAGAGCTGCACCCTGAAAATCGTGGTACTCGGCTTCTGCCCAAGAAGCATCGATCACCCACAAACCACGAAGGGCTGCCACCCACATTTCCAGGACGGGAACTTGGCTTGCAAAGCCAGACATGTCCGTCAGGAACAAGTCTGCCGTGCATGGGTCTGCCACCCATGTCCACCGAAGCTGAATCGCACGAGCATCCATAAGCGCCGTGCGCCTTCTATCTGCAACATGGACCCTCAGATCTGTCACGTCGTAATGGGTCGGCACTCGACCAGCAGATATGTCCAGGACAGAGCGCGCTTCCTTCTGGTGTCTTTGACGTCGGTTTGCCTCGGTCCTTTTGCGGAAGTCGAATGACTCCGCGAGTAGCCCAATATCAATCTCCGACTCAAGCAATGAGCCAGCGATGAGTGCCTCGATTTTCCGCTTCTTTCGCTTTTTGTCGTTGAACTCCTGTTCCTTTTTGTGGCCCTCTGTCCAAACATCGTCCTCGAGGACGATGGGCCGGCTGATGAGGTCCACCTGACCCGCCTTGGCTTGCACAACGTCTTCTCTGCGAGCTTTCAGAAAAGCGCCCTGTGTGTGCGAAGCTTCTTGCTTGGGAAACTTCCTGCGCCCACGATCGATGCGATCAAAGGCACCTGACCGGCTAGAAGGAAAGTATTTCGTCCAGATTGCCTTCATCAGGTCCACATTGTCCAAGATATCGGACTCGGAGAGTGCCAGGAGGGACATGCGGATACTCTCTGTGTGGCTGCGCACATGTCTGGCCTCGGCTGGAATCTTAGATGCCGCCTGAGAGAAGGACCGCTCCAGCACGGAGTCTGATATGCAAATACTGGCGTAAACAGCCAGCATCTCACGCAGGTGCTGACAGGGATGGTTCTCTGCTGTCTGGCGTCGGCTCTGGACTTCCTTGAGGGCTTTCTGCCAGGCCACAACGTTGGTGCAGCGAGCTTGCTGTGCATGCCAGCGTGCTCTTGGCCGAAAGTCGAGCCATTCCATCTGGAGACACACTGGATCGCAGTCAAACGTCTGGGCTATACGAGTTAGATCTGCAGCTACGTGCTGCGGTATTTTGCGAAGGTCCTCGGCACCCAGCGAATCCAGCTCCGCGCGTGCCCCACTCACATCGAAGACGTGCATAGCCGCAACTGCTTCGAACTCGGGAAACTCGGCAGCCAGCACCTTCTCAGCGAGGGCGACCCATGCTTTCAGGCGCTGAAGACACTGCTGCTGCAATCTTGGCGGGCAAGCCATGGGGCCTCCCAAAGACTTCACCTCAGACCCCCATGCCAAGACATGGGAAGTGGAGAGCCATCGTAACATCACGTGCGTGTGCCCACGTAACTTGAGGACTTGCTCTTCCACAAACAGCAGGCGCACAGACTCCAAGAACTGTTTGACCCGAGAATTCGCCATGGCTGAGTCACTTTTGCAATCATCCTGATCAAACCATCTGATGAGCTGGAGGCCCTCGTCCCCAGCATCAGCCAACATGGCTGCTGTCAGCAGCATTTCAGGCTCCAGTGCTGCCAAGAAAGATGCCGCAGACCGCCCCGCTACCTCGCCAGACCTCTCTCGCGCGATGCGCGTGGCCACGGACAAAATGGCTTCCAGGTCCAGGACGAAGCGGCTTAAAGGAGTTACAAGAGATTCGTATCTGTGAAGGGCAGCCCGCAGTGTCTTGAAAGAGCTGGAAACCGCCTTGCTCTGAGATGCACCGGTGGCCTCAACGTACCACTGCTTGAAGTCAAAGCTGTGTTGTATGAGCTGTGTGATGCTGGACCGGCCCGTCACAAAGGATGTCACGACTGTGTCCAAGTAGTCGTCAGCCTTCCACGGCCTTTCCAAAACACGTCGGGTGCCATGAGCTCTGTCTCGAACAAGCAGCTTGTGACAAGGGAAAAGTGTCTCCCCATTCTCAAGAAGCAGGCTGCTGGCCAGAACAGGTGCAGCCGAGTCAACTACAGCGGCCACCTCGTTACCGGCCGAGTCGACGGTTGTGGACAGGACACTCCTGCGCACGTGCTGCACCAAGTCCTCGTCACACGTCAAGTTTTCACCAGTGCTCCCAGGCAATCCAAGGCCCGGAGTGCACATATCCCGGATGATTTGCAACGTGGCCTGGACTAAACCAAAAGCGGTGCTGGAGTAGGTGTCCTTGAGCTGGCCAAGCAACCCATGGGTCAGATTCAAGTCCTTGTCTACGCAGCGAAAACGTATCAAGACTCTCTTGTGACGCTCATCCCGGAGCACAGACACAAAGCTGGCCTGTCGCAGCCTCTCTCTCCAGACGTGTCGGGCAGCTTCCACGATGCACCATTCTATGTTAGCTGTCTTGCGTTCAGCAGAAACGCCCTGCACGCGCCGGTCACTGGTGTCGTTCGAAAGCTGTCTAAAGACCTTCAAGAAGGCCTCTTGTCCCGGCCATTGCACCTCCAAGGCTGGCTTAGGCACCACGAAACCCAAGAACTTGCACACGTTTCGTTGATGCTCCGGTCCCGATGCATGCCTCATCAACCTGTGTAGTGTACAGGAGTCTTTCGTGGTGAACTGGAAGCCCTTCTCTGACATGCACACCTTGCACCCCATGGCAATGGTTGGACCGTCGATCTCGTACACAAGCCAGCTTTCACCGAGCATTGTTTGGGCCTGCTCTAGAACAGTTGCCTCAGCATCCCCTAAGAGGTCGAGGACAGAGTCTGTAACTAGGCTGCAAGCTTCTTGCAGCTTTGCAAACTGATGCCCAGAAGACTTGCACACACAGTCCACATTGTAGCAGGTTCCAATATGCTGTCGAAGATCTCCCGGTGTGTTCAGCGGGACCTTGCGTTTCCATCTCCCTCGTGCCATGTTGCTTCGCGACTAAGCAACACTCGCTCAGCTGCTGAGCCTGATTGTCGCAGACCTTGTTTTAGAAGCGGATTCCAAACAAGTTACTTGGAGGCCTTTTGGACTGAGTAAGTCTACTTAGTATCCCCTAGAAACCCTATTGTAATCCCCAAAACTTACCTTACTAACCCTACTTACTAAGTCAAAAAGGCCTCCAAATAGTAGCCTAGGCCCTGGAGGGTGCATGTCAGCATGGCGAGGTCACTCAAAACACGTGGCCCAAAGCGCAGCAAGACAAGTCTTGTAAAAATGCGGTGTGCACTCAAGACCTGCCGCAGCACAAAAGATGTAAAGAATATTACTGCAAGGCTTCGACTGAGAAAGGATCAGGTGCTGCTTTCTAAGTGCCGGGCGATCAAGGCGAACTGTGCCGTGGTCAGATTCTGCTGCCAGGAGCACCTGGACAGGTGCAAGGCGAAGAAGACTTCTAGGAAGCAAGGTCCCAGAGAGATACTAGACCACAAGCAGATGCCTGTGTTCTTCCAGGCATGCCTGAATGCAGGCTACCCTTGGCTTGCTGTACTTACACTGCTACAATGTATCCTGGCCGAGCGCGCCGACGCTGCTCGACAGTCTCGGGTTCAATGGTTCGAGAATCTGGACGTCAAGACTGGCAACCCCCCGAAGATCAATTGGGAGAAGGTCAATGGAAAGTCAACGGCAAGGTCAATACCACTACCCGATGCCTTCGCACAGAATCTTTACACGTGGATGTACCAGCAACCTCTCGAAGGGGCAGGTCAGACACGTTGGCCCTTTCCAGGACAGGATATGCAGCTTCAAGAAAGTTACCTGTTCCCTGGAATGAGCCTGTCGAGCCATAAGCGCAACTGGAAGAAGCCAATCTCGGAGCGTGGGTACCTCAAGGCAGTGCGTGTGGTTGCCTGTCTTTTAGAGAAGGAAAGGCAGGCAGCTCGAGCAGCTAATGAAGTACATCCTATGGATGGGGTGGATTTAGGAAAATTAGGAACCCACACGTTCAAGGCAAGCGGGGTGACGATCATGAAAGATCATGGACATTCCAGCAAGGTTGTCTCTGCCATTTCTGCTACGACAACCGAGACACTCGAGAAGTTCTACGAGAGAGCTACTCCCAAGAGACAGCGCGAAGCTTTGAACAATTCGTTTGCAAGTATTTGTTGCGAAACGAGGGCAGGGTCTGCGTCTGGCTCAATGCCTGAGAAACCCACCAATGCAGATATCCCTACACAGCGAGTGGCAAAGTTCTGCTCCCAGTGTGGAACAAAGCGAGGGCAGTTGTCTTGGAGCTTTTGCCCTACATGTGGACACCGTTTCGGCTCCCACGACTGAGATGTGGGGAGCAGAAGACCTAGGAAAAGACCCTATCAACCCGGACAGCCCGTGTCTATGTCCTCCTAGACCATGTGGACACCGTTTCGGCTCCCACGACTGAAGGAATGCTCAGACCCAAGAAAAAAAACTGATGGCATTGCTTTGCGCCCGTAGACACAACAAAACAGCCCCGTGTCTAGCCAAAGCTAACCCCCGACCCGGACGGCGAGGCGAGGCCCGCGCATCATCTCGGCGACGCACTC